TGCCTCAGTACGCTTTCCAACCATATCAAATAATCGTCGATTATTGCTTGGACAAAATAAGTCACTTCACTTGTATCTGTGTATGTACCAGAAGAATACATTAATTTTACTTTGTATATCACTTCAACATTTAACTAAAAAAATTACACCATTTTAAGAAATGATGGACGGACGAATTTATAAATGAAAAAAAATCTTCCAACAGAGTCGAACGATAGGGCTCCAATAGAATAAAAGAAAATTTGCTTCTTATACATACACGAGTTTTCATTATGATCCAACATAGTCCGCACATGGATGAGGTGGAGGACAAGGTCGAATTAAGGAAGATCTCAGATAGATTAATTATTTCAAAGTTTCCAATATTATAATAATTAATTTATAGTTAATAAAATTTATACAATTTTTTTTTAATTTTTGGCAAACATTTTTTATTTTTTTTTTAATTATTTAGGGGACAACAGCCTTCCCCTACTTCTCCCTGCGTACTTCCATGTTATTATTCTAATAAAAAAGGCACTCTTACTATAAGATTGACTGTTGAAATTATAAGAATGAAAAGTTGTCAGGATGTGCAGTTGAAAATTCCTTTATTGAGGACCACTAGCGGATCCAGTATTTAATTTTTGGGAGGCTTCAGCCCGAAAGCTTAATATATATATTTAAAACTATAATTGATTTGAAAAAAAAGAAAGTAATAACCTACCTACATGCAATGGGTTTTAAGTAGTTCTTGAAGTCCTATTAAATTTAATTACACGAACAAGAGTACTTTAAGAGATAGTTTTTAATACTTTTTTCTATAGAACATGGCTATATTTTACCATTTGGGGAGGGGGGGAGGTGCTTCAGTCCAAAAGCCACTCCCCCGTAAATCCGCCTGTGTTGACAATGGTTTGAAGACTGGACAAGAATTTATTCTTCAAACCAGTGCCTTAATGATGACCCACGTTAGGGTAAAAACGTTGACATACCCCATCAAGAAATTTTTGACTTCAAATCCTGATAATTTTTAATCTTTACAAATCAAATTATGCCCCTCAAGGAGTTTGATAAAGGGTATAAGTTGTAGGTTACATAGAGGTGGTAGTATCTTTTCACTCATACCAGCACATGCGTACTAAATGGTCCTTTCTTTGTTTACCTAAAAATAGGTATTTAAGGAATATCTTATCAATTGAAAAGTTGTGTGACACAATACTACAATACTGAAATTTTCAAATTGTCCAAAACTGAAATGCATTTATTGCTGGTTTGTTAAGAAAGTAAAATATTAAAATAAATTATCTGCCAGAATAAAATAAGTTGTAATGAAATTTACCACTTCCAAAATTTGTTGACATGAAAGAAGGCTCTCAAGCCAAGCAGACGAAGCACACCAAGCCATATCGAAGCCATTAGGCTAATCAAAGGGGGCTGGAGCGGAAGCCGTGTACCTGCATTACAGCCCCGCCCTCTGGGGCCTAAAAACCGAATTAACATTCAGCCCAACGAGCAGCTGTTTACATTGTATAATTTAGTTGCCTGTGCCTCCTCCATCTAACCCTTTTCCTTTACAACACCTGACCTTTCCCGCCCAATTCAGTTGACATTATCCTGATATTTCCGTAAAACAACATGAATAAATAATAAGCTTAAGAATATAATATAATAAAGCCTCACATTATCTCGTATTGGTTCCATGTTTAATTTCAAGTGCTTGTTTAACAGGTGTGAAATAACAAAGCATTACACTGTAATAATATTAAAATTACAGCTCAAAAATAGGATTTAAAGAAATATTGCGATAATAATTTTTTTAACTTATTATTTGTTTTTTTAAACATGCAAATTTTAAAATTTGCAAATATCAGAGGCGCGCATCACACAACTTTTCTTACCGCTCTACTAACAACAGAAATTATTATCTGGAAAAAGCCACTACAAAAAGTTTTTTAAGTGAATCTTTGTGGAGCTAAACCAAAAAGAATACATTTGTGAATTTCGATCATATTTATCAATGCAAAAATTCTTTGAGACAATCATCACACAAATCCTCTTTATTATAACGACGATAGATAACAAAAACCTTGTTACTACATCATTCTGCTTTACTCTTTGAAATACAAAGAGATATACAAAGAGAGGTTTGAAATTATATATATTTAGTTATGGATAAGTTGCCACTGTATTACATAGTAAAAATTATGGGAATTACATCTCTAAAACTTTTTACATGTATTTAAAATATTATTTTTTTCCCTTGTAAAGGTTACTAAAATATGGAACAAAAGTTGTCTAAACTAATTGTAAGAGCTTAGTGATTTAATTTAATTTAATTATTTACTTATTTTCGTTTCTAAAATGCTACATGAAGCAATCTTGCTCAATGTCCACTGGGTTTAGTGACGCGGTTGAGAGAGAAGTGCAGGGATCTCCTGGAGTCACGCTTTTCCCTCCACAGTTGGAGGGACAAGTCTGGTTTGGAGTTCTCTCGCCAGATTGTAAATATTGTATATAAGTATGTATGTATTCTTTTTATTTATTTATTTTTAGGTTATTTTATTCTTATTTATTGTATATATATTCTTTTTCTGTATAAATTATTTTATTTATTGTACATAGAGTGTGAATGTAGAGATCACATTCACACTATTATAAATTTACTTGAGACAGATTGTAATATTTTTCAATGAATAAGTTAAAAAAAAGAAAAATGCTACCAAATGGTGTTTTGGAAAACAAGGACAATATATACCAAATTACTTCTTTATATTATCGGATCTAAATCTATTAAACATCAGTAAATGCTCTTAAGGGTTATAAAAATTGTAGTCATCCATTAAATATTTTTAGGTTTCACTTCTTCTTTAAAACAAGTGCAATAAAATAACTTTTAAACAAATTCAATGTTTGTGAAGTTAGTGTGTTAGAAAAAAAAAAAAAAAGAAAAACTCTTCAACTGAATATATTAATATTATTAGTGTTTATTTATAATAATGAGGGATTTTTAACTACTTAGGGTCATTTTAGCCGATACGCAACATGGATTAATATACATTATATTAGAAATTAAAATTATTGATTTTGTGTTAAATTTAAACATATGTTTTGATTAAATAAATATATTCTTTTATAGTTTCATGTATTAAAACAATCGGCATGATACGGACGAAAAGAGAGAATCTATTTTAAGCTCACCAGTTCGACATAGGGCCACATCCGAACTACGAGAGCAAATTTAAAATTTAATTTTCTCGGCAGTGTTCTTCCGTGCCGACAGCAACGAATTTCCGACAATGCAGATCTCCCTGGGCTGCTGTTCCGCTGCAGCCCTGTTGACGGTACTGCTCAATTGTCACTAATTAGGAGCGATTAGTTGCATTAGAGTTGATTGCTCTCGACAATTAACCTTGTTCTAGTTAATTAATTTACAGTCTATCAACTCTCTCTCATCTGCTCAGTCGCCATCTGCCTATACTCAATAGATCCGTTATTTGTTTGTCTATTATATTATCATAATATTGCGTTATTGTTTCATGACAAGAAACGTTAAAATTTAGAGTATTTTATATCTCTAATAAAGAACAAAATTCTTTGATAAGTAAATCAACCTTTAAAGATATGAAAACTGTAAGTTTCTTTTATCCTTGGAAATAATTTTGAGAAAATGACAACTACACACTAGGTGTGTAAATCATTGGTAGGGGAAGGAGCTTTCGGACTGAAGTCTCCCAAAATAGAATTTTTTTTTTCATTGGTCCATATTTGTTGCTGTGAGTAATCTGACTAGGTGAGGCTATAGTCAATGTGTAACCGATTTTAACCATTTTTTTTTTCGGTGAAACTAAATCGAAAAATATTAGACACGTATAATATGGCATTCGATCCAATGGCCCTAGAAGCTGAGTAAATAAATATTTTAGATAATTTCAAACAAAATTAATGTTATTATTTTTTGCCTTTGCTTTGCCCGGATGTTTAGTTTACTGTATACAGGGTGTTTCAGGTTTAAGTGACCAAACTGCAAAAATTAACAAAGAATCTCAAAATAAGAAAACAATTTCCTCCGAAGGTTTATCCGCAAACGATTTGTTTAGGAGATATTCACACGTTGTAATGAATTATTTACGTTATATGAAATAAATAAAACCTATTTATTTGTTCTACCAACTTTTTAAATTAAATTTAAACACTACAATTTATATTAAATGTTATTCAAAGTGAATGTATGTCCGCAAACGCTTTCTTTTGGAGATGGATTAGGTAGAATACTAATATTGCCTTTTATCCGTAACTGTATAAAAACTATTGGCTATATAAGGATTAATACTATTTGTAATTAGCATTGAGAACGCTCAATAACATTTATCAGTTTGCAAGAGGCTTTTGCAGAGTACTCATCATTATGCTTTCCATTTATACTAATGGCGAATATGCCGATACGTTGTTTGTATACGGTTTTTGTAATGCTAATGCTGATGCTGTACGCATGAATATACTAGGCGATTTCCGAACAGAAGATTACTAAACATGTCTATCTTTAGCTCCACGTATAAACCTCTTAGAGAAACTGGTACATTTGACATAATACCACGTGCTGATGGTATTTTTGCCCCTTCACTTTGTCAACAACAACCCAAGTCACTTTGGGTATCCAACGTATCCATTTAATATGGATTTAATGTTTATGTTTAATTAATAAAGTAGTTGGAACAAATAAATAAGTTCGCCTAAAGAAAGCGTTTGCGGACATATATTCAGACATTTTTTTTTCTTTTTTTTGAGGTCCTTAATTCATATTTTCAGTTTGGCCACTTAACCCTGAAACACCCTGTATACATCGATTACCATGTTTGTGTAAAATAAGGAAAAAAATTCTATAAACAATTGAAAGTGAAATATGCGAGAGTCAGATATTGAGTTGGAACTTTAACTAATGTCTCTTGCAGAGAACAGGTAACAAAAAAAAAAAAATAATTCAGAACTAGTAGTTAACCATTTAATATTGTGAATTATTGTTACTTTTCCGTAACTACGCTGTCAATATCCCAGTTTGCTTTAGCGAACGCTTTTGGCGGAAGTAGGAAACTTTTCTGAACGGGCTGTCTCGGATTTCCGCCGGTTGGATTGAGTAACTTCCTCCGCTTTATCGAATCCCACCAACAGCCAACATCCAATGGCCATTCACACGGAAACTGAACATGACGAGAGCCTGAATACCAACTAAATTCACTCTACTAACTTGCTAGCTTCTTGGGATAAGTTAAGTCTAACTTATCCGTATATAACATATTGGCTTCTACAAGCTCTGAGCTCGATAATCTTATATCAAAGTAGCTTTGCTTGGAGTTTAATTTGGATTGCACATGACTGCTTCATGATATCAACACACATGACCGCGTCAGATTATTTGAAGATCATATTCGAAATTAAACCGGTAAGAAAAAATGACTAATTTAAATTTTTTAAAGGAAGGAAATCGTATGAATTGGCGGTCATAAACCGCGAACTGGTAACAGTTCTAAGTGAAACTCCTAGCTGAACAAACCTCTCTGGAGAAGACCTGCAAAGTCGGATCGAAACGTTGGCTTTTAATAAAACAGTTTTTAATGCAACGGTCAACTATTAAATATTCAATTCAAAATTTGGTACGACTGACGCATAAAGTGGCCGATTGCGAATCATCATATCACCTTTGCACCAAATTGTTTTTAGAAAATTTTGGTATGCGGGAAATATAACTTGCAATAATCATACAATATCCACAAAAATATGTATACTTTTTTAGTTACTTGGAAAGCATAGTTTCCGAAATGAATAATTTAATAATTAAATTTGGTTTAAAAAATCGTTTTTTTATACTTATTTATTATAAAAACAATGTATTTTTTTAAAAGAAAAATAAACTGAAGATGAAGTAAGAGAGATGCCGTTAATAAAAGAAAAAAGAGAACTGACTTTGCAAACAAATAAAAGCTGAGTTTGTAAAAAGCATGAGGTTTGAACACTATTCTGGTGGTTTGTGACATAATAAATCTCTAGAGGACAACGGGTAACAACAAAATGTAACAGAGACAGAAGACATCTACATATAGCATAGATATGGGAGCCTGATGGCACTATGCTAAACAGGCATATCTGCTGTAGAGGAGTTGAAGACTAGGCTAGAATGTAGAGAGAGAGTGAGTAATGTCCAATATGGAGGGCGTTTCATTTTCCAAGGCTAGTGCACGTTTTTTGTAGTTTTTACTGACATATTTGTTTTAAACAACGGTATTTATTAAAGCTTTAACCTCACATAACATTAAATAATTGTAACTTACAGTCATAAACGGAACTCTATTATTTAACTGAAATGAAAATGAAATAACGGTTCTTACCGTTTCAGAAAATTCTAAAACATAAATAGTAATTTTGAGAATTCTTCAAACATATTTTACATAAATATTTCAAGTAAATGTATAATTCATTATTATAATAAATCAACTTAATTATATGTTATTGTTCTTGAAATATTTCTATTTGCATTTTAGTTATGTTAAATAATTATGTATTTATCCCTAGCAGCGATTTCTGAACTATGTAACAAGGTTTTGATTTTCTTAATAAATTTTTTGTTTTTCTTTTTTTTCCTGCTGTTTTTAATATGAAAAACAGTTTTCATCATCTATCACAAAGCACTTTGAGTAGGTATAATTTGATATTAGTTTTTCTTAACTTCTAATTTTCTTTTTCATACGATTGTATTTCTTTGAAATGTATTTTATTTCTTACTTATCTTTGACACATCCCAGATATATATATATATATATATATATATATATATATATATATATATATATATATATATATATATATATATATATATATATATATAATGTGTGAGTGTGTGTGTGTGTGTGTGTGTGTTTTCTCTCCTCTTAATCTATCGCTTCATAGATAGATCAAAACAGTTGTCAAGTTTTTCGCAATATCTTTATGTGTATACACTTAAACTTCTTAAGGAACCTATGTAAATAATTTATTTACTCTACTTATTTTTTTTTTAGTTTATATTTTATTAGTGCAATGGTTTGCCTATAAAATTTATTTAACTTCCCTTTCTGATTTCATTTAGTTATTTTTAAGTTATTGTTTTAGCACCAATATTGTAGCAAAGTAACCCTATTTCCCATCAGCGTTCGTTAATGCATCCTCATTATCCTATGTGCATAGTTGTTTTATCTCTTATATTTTAGTTATTATGTATTGTAATATGTCTTTTGGTCAGATTTATTGTTAATTTGTATTAACGATGTTGTTAATCTTAAAGGACTTTGTCCCACAATGAAGATGATGGTTTTCTATTTCTATTTGACACACAGTCAAAATTATACTTCTGTATATTGATAGGAATTGTTGAATGAATAAATAGTTTAATTAATATTATATTTAAAACAATAATTTATTTTAATAAATAAACATCATAGCAAAGTGTTATTTTCTTATATTCTTTTTCTTGATAGTATGTTATATTTCATGTTGCTTTCTTCTGTTATGCTTCTAGGCGTGGGGATGACGGCTTCTGAGGTAGAAAATTTTCACTTTATAGTTGAAATATTCACATAGTTTAGTTAATAAACATGTTTACACGCACGTTTTGAGAAGGAACCAGAAAGAAATTGTGGAAAATTTGAGATAAAAAACAAATGTTATTTTTATCATGATAATGACAGCAAACACTCTGTCATATTATTTAAGGAATGGCTACTTCAAAACTGCCCCAAAGTTATAAAAACATCACTACAGTCACCACATTTTAATTTGATAGAATACGTGTGGGAAAAATTGGAGGTAGGAATAATAAATCACGAAATTTCTAGCAAAGAAGAATTAAAAAAATATCTTCTTGAAACACTCAAATTATGGTGATTCCGGCCTTAGCCTGGGGAATTTGATCGACTCCATAGCAAACAGACTTAAAGGAGTTGTAGAAAACAATGGCTTGCCTACAAAGAGTTGAACTAAATTAATAGTAAAGTCAATAAGAAGTGAGGTGTATCATTTTGAATTTGAGGTGAACTTCCATTTTTTTTTATTTTTTTTTTTAAAATCACAGTTACATATTTTAACATTATTGAGTTACTAAATATCTAAAAAGAGATTATAAATAAATCTGTTGAAGATTTCCTGGTTTTATTTATTTATTGTAACCATTTAAACCTTTTTTCTATTTTTCTACAGGGAATATCCATTGTGTGTATTATATATATATATATATATATATATCCATCGAAAAACTAAATAGTTACTTTCACTAATATAGGGGATATGTATAGTGGTATAGTAGCTATACGGTATAGTAACAATTATTCACTAATTGGCTTAAGCGATAAAGCATGGAGGACTTGATACCAATTGATAATGCCTCATAGTCTATTAAGCGTGTCTATCTGCGGTAAACGGGCTCTCATCCGTTAATATCATTGCGTGAAGGCGTGTATGTGTATTGTATACATACAAACATACATACACATATATATATATATATATATATATATATATATATATATATATATATATATATATATATATATATGTGTGTGTACATATATATACATGTGTGTGTGTTTGTGTGGCGGATAAAATTTCATCATGTTTCACTATCAAGACAACTCAAAAAATGATCATTACTTTTTAATTGAGTCGAACACGAAATTGTTTTATAATGAGTTCTGTGTAATAGAATCTAGGTGCTTCCAAATATTTTGAGTTTGATGTAGGTATCTGATTTCTTATGTAATGTACCTGTGCATGAAAACTTTAAATTAATAATAATGAAAAGATAACTTTTGAATTATTAATTAATTTTTTTGTAGCATACTGCATACCTATCATTTAAAGAGATTTAATAATGCATGAAATTTTAATTTAGATGAAGTTAATGACATTTTTTTCTAAAAGAATCTGTTTATACACCCTACCTTCATTAATACTTGAATATTTTTCAAAAATATATAATTAGCGAAATAAAATAAAATAAAATATTTCCAATGTGTACAAACACAAACAAATATAGAAACGAGTTTAGAGAAAAAAAATGTAAAATGTGAATACCTAGAGGTAATTTTATTTTTTGGTTCTTTCATATCGATGTATGAAAATATAATGAATAAAAGAAACCTGAAATATTATTATAGAAATTCACAAATACAAAGATTTCGCGCAGCGATTATTGTATGAACAATTAAAAAATATTTAAAGACCTTTTTTTTAAATGACATATTTTCACTAACTTGGTTTGTTTATAGAAATTTGGAAAATAAATAAGGAAAATTGAATCATTTAATGAAATATTATATCAAGCACTAACGGATAGAGAAGGAAGTTCTCTTTGTTTATAATATACTGTAGTCATGCCTTCCTGGAAAATTATTTGATATAACAGAGAATAGAATACATACTTCATTATATGCTCAGTTTATTTAACTTTCCCTTTTCCTTAATCTAGAGATTTTTAAAAATATTATTTATAACTGTATTAGAAATAAAAAATACATTCAGTAAATGTGAGCATGAGAATATAATAACATGAAACCACTTGTAGAGAAACTACCCAGTGGTAGCACTTTAAAAATGTATTTACAACAGGAGACCTCGAGGCCATCTTCTTTTTAGACGCCTCGGAGGGTTATCAGGGATCTAGGAGGAAGCAAGTTTAGAAACGAGAGGGTTTGGATGGTTCTGAAGCTTGTTATGGAAGGATAGGTATCTGAATTGGGTCAGGTCAGAAACATAAGGAACATCACATTCGTTATGAAGGATTTTATTTATGACAAAGTAAAGAGCATGGATGATTTTAAGGATTTTGGATTGTAAGGATAGGATACGAGAGAAATTCGATCGCTTAGTAGAGCCCCAAAGCTCAACTCCGTAAGTCCAAATAGGTCTTATTGTAGTCATGTATATGAGTCTTTTGTAATTCATTGGAAGTTTAGAGCGTTTGTCTAGTAAGTACTGGTGTAGTAGGAAACGACGAGTGGTTTCTTGTCGTTTCAGTCTGGTATGAGGATTCCAAGTTAGACGTTTGTCCAAATGGAGTCCAAGGTATTGGATTTGTTCAACAGGAATATGTGGGATATTATCAAAGGATACTGTAGGGCAGGAGGTCGTAGGTTTACGGCGAGGGTAATAATGATTGAAGAGTTTGGGATGCAATGGTTGGGGCACATGTATCATCGGCATACGTGGTAATAACTGTGCTAGGATGGGTCGGGATGTCAGCTGTATAAAATGTGTAAAGGATAGGACCTAGGATACTACCTTGAGGAACACCAGCGGACTGAGAAAAGATAGATGAATCTATCATATAGATAGGAACGGATAATGAGGAAGTATGTAGGATGTATTAATTTGTAAAGCAGTCTCGGGTGCCAGAATGTCAAAAGCCCCAGAAAATTTATTTTGTTTTCAGAATTCATCCTTACAAGACAAGTTTTTAAAAATGTTCTTATTGCACATAGAGATTATTCAAAACTGAACTTTAAAAACATTCTATCTTATATTGCTGAGATTTAGATTATTATTCTATGAATCTATTAGCTAAGAGAATTTATTAACTTTCATGTATGTATCTATAGTTTTAATTTATTAAATTAATTAATTAATAAATATTTTTACTACAAATCGGCAAACGATTTGTCGAACCTTTTGGCAAGATTTGTTCATTTACATACCTTACAAATATTTGACGAGCTGTTTGCCAAACGGTAGACCACAAGTATGGAGCTTGTTATAAAAAAGACAATTTCATCGTCGACCCTGTTGACGAAAATTAGTGACAGTTCCATCGCTAACAAGGAGTCGGAAGGAGGAGGAAGTAGGGGGAGGTGGAGGGAGGAAGTACCCTTGATAAACATTAGGACTTGTTGACTGCCGGGCCAAGATTTACATTTAAATGTTGTTTTTTTGCCTGGGCCACCTCCGAAGGGGCTGGTCCAATTTACATCTCTCAGATGGCGCTGTCAGTAATTCTTACGGTGAGCTGCCTCCTGGATTGAGCCTGATGCGAAGAGGCATCTATCTACCAGTACAAACTTCGATTATTTCAAATTATCGATATTTTTCTAAAATAATTTAATCAAACAAGAGGTTTTATTCAATTAGTTTCATTAAATGATTTATTTATTCTATAATTTATTTATTTATTATAATTTTTTTTACATAATAAATGCTATTTTCATGTATGAATATAAATTACTCCTTTTCATTTTTTTTTAAAAATTAATATTTGTGTTGTATCATGAACAGCCAATGTTCTCTTTTCCACATTCTCACACCTTTGTAAAAGTCCTTATATTATTAGCAGAGATAAGTATGTTGAGTTTATTAGGGGATCATTCCACCAGTATTCATCTAATAGATGAATACATATATGAAAACATAAACTATGTTTCAATCAATTCTGGTAAAAGCTGTCACATGACGGCAGTGATCTGTAAGAGTAGAAAAAAATATAGAAATATATCTATTATATGGTGCTCTTATTCTACCAAATCAGAGTTCGAGCCCGGCTGTGGAAGATAATCATTTATTCGGTTTCTTGGACGTGGATCGGACTGTAAAAACCCAGCCTGTATAAACTGTATAATCTGTATTGCTTGAAATACTTCTTTTTTCTCTCCTACTTAGCCTTTTCTGCTATATGGATTTTTCTCCGGCCAGAAGAGAGGGCGAAGGATTAATGTCAGAGTTAAATGCCCCCGCCGACGATACTTGAACATGGTTGGAAGAACTGTTGGTTGAGCGTGATCACGACCTCTCTGCACAATGTATGACTTATAAACAGAATTTCTTTATAAAGTACTGAACCAAAGAACCTTCCTCTGTATATATTATAGTGGTACATATTTTATTATTAAAATTATACTTCCACTGGCTTACTATACCAGTGACGCGGCTGGGTGAGAAGCACTGGGATCTTCTGGAGTCCTGCTTTGGGTTCCAAAGCTTGATTCGGAGTCCCCTGGGCCAATGTAAATATTGTACATAGGTGTTGTACATAGGTACATATGTTTTATTTTTTTTGCCCCCTTTCTAATGTACATATTGTGTGAATGAATACTACAGCACTAGTACCAATGCCCTTCAGTGTGGCAGACTGTATTAATACTCAATAAAAGTTTAAAAAAAAATACTAAAATACAAATAACAAACCATTGAATTTTAAATAAATTATTTGACGTTTTTAGTATATTTGTTTAATATATATCAGAGATTGCATGACTCATATAATAAGAACAGTATAGAAATAATGCCATCTTGAATTATGAAATAGAGTTATGATATTATTGGTCTTATAATTCATGAATATTAACAAAATATTAAATTGAAATCATTTACGATAAACATTGGTAAACATGAATAATACAGGCAACAGGTCAAATCGGAATGTATAATTAATAATATGACATTCTACTGGACTTCCAAGAACATTTACATGATAACGCTGACAAGTCAATTGTATGTAAATGTTAATTTTTTTTTTTATGGTTTCGATAAATTAACAAAAATACAAAATAATACTAATTATATGATACAACTTTAGGTATTATTTAATAAATAACAACGTTTAAAAAAGTTTGCAATATTAAATTAATAATCATACTTTAAATATGCCTTCGATGACATATGATTCAACTTGAAAATACGAAGCTGCAACTTTAATATGATTTGCCAATATAGGGTCTTGGGCTCAGTACTTTGTAAACAAGTACTGTTTCTTGGTCAATGTGGTTGTATCAAGAAATGATTTGACGGAGATCACGCTCAACCACGAAGTCCTTCAAAATGATAATTAAATTTAAAGTACCCACTTTATAGTTGGGTGTGTCCCACGAAGGTCTCTCGATACCAGGGTCAAATCCAGGACACGGAGTAAATAAGTGTAGAGCCTTATTATAAAATATTTATTATCACAGAGCTACGTCTTAAAAAAAATGTGAAAATAAAACATTATAATATATTTTTCTCTACATTTATATAGAATATCATATAATATAAAGATGGGCAGTATAGGAATTCTGTGAAGGACTTGAGCCAACGAAAGAAAAATAAATAAATAAAAAATATATATACAGATTTATAAATGAAAGAGAGGTCATACGAAATTCTGGTTAAGAAAAAAAAAATTGGTTATTTAAAGTAGTAATGGGAAATTGGTCGCACTGTGTGTATTCTGTCTGTGAGCTTATATAAATTTAATTTATTTCCAGTTTGACCACAGTATTTCATTTCCATCCTCAGGCAGCGTTCCATTTTCAATTTAATTTAAGGCAATATTAATATTATCAAGTTATCTTTGCGGTTATTTAATTTTGTCCTCTGACTTTTTTTTTATCAGATGGAAAAACACTTGAATATTGAGCGACACCTACATTTCAAGAAATAGTTAATAAAAAGATAATATTAAATATTCAATCCTACTGTACATTCCCTTCACCCACAGGCGGATCTATGGGGAGGGTGCTTTTGGGCTGAAGACCCCTCTCCCCCAAATGATAAAATATAACCATGTTATATAGAAAAAAAATATTAAAAACTATCTCTTGAAGTATTATTGTTCGTGTAATTACATTTAATATTACTTCAAGAACCACTTAAACACTATTTCATATAAATAGTTAATTTCTTTCCTTTTAAAAAAAAATTAATTATCGTTATCTATATGAAAAAAAAAGATTTCGGGCTGAAGCCCCCAAATTTAATTCCTGGATCCGCTAGTGCGTTCACCCACCCAGGGCCCTCACGTAGAATGTAGGCGCCCGAGGCAAAATTCCTTCAGGCACCCTCATGTACACTATTATATCTTAATATATTTTGTTAAAGTGAAAACTGCTTTAGGCACGCTCAACACTTTATTTTGTGGGTATTGGACGAGCCTCAGCTGTCACGCTCGGCTATTAAACGATCGTTCAGGTGAAGTTGACCCGAATCGACTAATTTTTGTATTGGAGATTCAAAAAACTCATTAATTAAAAATCGGATCTCCATACTGCAAAACAGAGAAATGTTAAGCAATTCATGCTCTTTGTAATTAGCTATTATTCAAAATTGAATCTTTAGGCGAGCTTTGTTAGGGAGGATAAATAAAAAAAAAGTGATCTCCGAAACGAGATGATAATGATTTTTTTTTAACATTTTCATTAGAACATCTCAAAAATTAAATGCGGACCTGCATACTGTACGCGAGAGAAATCTTCAGGATCGCATCTTCATAATTTTGACGTGATGCCAAATAAGCGAGTCGGAAGGGTAAAAAAAATAAAACAATAATTCATTATTAATGATTTTTTTTTTATGGATATTTTGGAGTTCTAGCAATGGCCAGATTCTCCACTCAAGTCATGAGTGTCTGTGGCTGTAGCGCTCTTACTCATCCTCCGCTGGTTTTAAATACCAGTGAAGTGGCTGAGGGAGAAGCGTAGGGATCTCCTAAGCCTCCCTTTTCTCTCCACATGTGGAGGGGACAGGATTGGTTCGGAGATCACCTGGCAAATTGTAAATAATGTATATAAGTATGTTTTATACGAGAGTTTGTTTTACTTTTATTTCTATTTTTACTTACTTATGTGTGTATATATATATATTCTCTTCTCTTTTGTTCCTTTTTCTTATTCTTTTGTTATTACTTCATTTATTTATATTTTTGTATATACGGTATAAATGTAGTCTCTGAACTCTATTATAAGTGTCCTTAACTGTGACAAATTGTAATATTTCTCAATAAAGTGTTTCAAAGTTAAAAAAAAAAAAATGATTTTTTGATATTATTTTTGCCTAGCTAACCCGACCTCGTATCAAGACATCATTTTGAATAATAGCTGATTACAAAGAAAAATTTACCTGATTAATTTATACACAATTACAATTGAATACGTTGTAAATGTTATTATTTTGTGTAGAATAGAATGCAGAATAAAAACAAGTTTATGCACAATTATATATATTTTAAATGTTTATTTAAATATGAATATTGAAAAAAAAAATTTGTTGTTTGGTCTTTAGGCACACACCGTGGGTTTGCTTTTTATTTCTTTCGTTATTACCGTAATATCTAACCCTTTTTTTCGATAGGATATTGGGCTATACTGATATTATTGCAACCTTCCTAACTTCATTGTAACAAGCATTTCATTTTTAATTCTCATACAAGATTTTTTTTTAAATTTATTTATTCATGATATTCACAATTGTATTAATATAAAAATATATCTAGTTAATGTGTACACAGGAATAATATAATCACATGAAAACGCTTGTTGAAAAACTACTCATTGGTAGCACTCTAATAATATATTTACATAAGTAGATCACGAAACCATCTTTTTTTCAGGCGTCTTGGAGGGTTATCAGGAAGAGGAAGTAAGAATTGAAACAAGAGGGTTCGGATGGTTTTGAAGTTTCCTATGGAAGGGTAGGTATCTGGATTGGGTTAAATCGAAAACATATGGTACGTTAAGGTCGTTATGGATGATTTTATTTGTGACAAAGTAAGGAGCAATAGGATTTTATGGAGGATTTTGGATTGTAAAAACTTGTATATGCGAGGAATTCGATGATTTAATGGAGACATAAAGCTCATCAAACAAGTCTGAAACGATAAGAAAATGCTCCTATATTTCGATTACTACAGCACTTATTTCACAATATTCCAATTCCAAAACAAATTACCAATATCAGGCAAACTTGGATACTTCAAATTGAATCCACAAAATTATCAAATTCTTCCTGTAACTAATTCTTACAATACAAAATGCTATCTAGAATCCTTAATGTTTTTTTGTTTTTTTTTATTTCTACTGCTTGGTTGGTTGTGTAGTAAAGGCGTAGAACCTGCTGGTCATCAACGCCGTTAATT